TTGGTATCGGTTATAAAATATCAATATCGGTCGATCACTAATTTTTTTTTTGCCCTGTCTGATGCCGACACTGTATTTATTTGTTATATTAACATATATTGATCAATGCTCTATTCGTATTTTCTCTGCACAGCTAAGACTAACAGAGGGGAAGTAAACGTGGTGCCAGTGAACAAAGCAAGCTCAGGTTTTGCACCGTCTCAGCCTCCAGTCTGTACAAGTCCATCTATTATGTGTCCAGGAGCATCACTGTGCATTTCCCAGACTCAGCTGTGTGACGGGAGCAGAGATTGTCCTGATGGTTCTGATGAAGGCTCATGCATTGACACTTGTGCAAAACGTGGTAAAGTACTTTAACCTCAGTGTCAATTACCTTGATTTTATTTTTGCTGTTGCAAACACAAAGTAAATAGCTGACATCTTTAACATCTAAACCGGTGCTTTGCTAGGTGACTTCCTGTGTAAGGATGGAAGTAAATGTGTGGAGAGGGATCTGGTGTGTGACGGCCGCTCTCACTGCATTGACGGGTCAGATGAGATGGGATGTCCCACCACTGCTTCTGAAACGGTCTCAGCACCATTCAGGTGTCGTGTGGGCTCTAAACCCTGTAAGGACGGACGTGAGTGTGTGCTGTACAGTCATGTGTGTGATGGAGAGATGGACTGTAAAGATGGATCAGATGAACAGGACTGTGAATATCGGTGTAAAGCAGGTAAAACTCATATAACTGATCCCTGACTGTCTTATGTAACTCAAACGAGTGTCACTGACAATGTTTCCTCACAGATCAGTTCCAGTGCGCTCATGGGAGGATGTGTATCGACAGAAAGCAGGTGTGTGACGGCACACCTCAGTGTCAGGATCGCTCTGATGAACTGGACTGTTTCAGTCGCTCGCACGAATGCAAACATCAGTGTGATGATAAAACTCGCTGCATCCCAGAGAGCTTCCTCTGTGACGGAGAGAAAGACTGTGTGGACGCCACTGATGAAGCCAACTGCTGTGAGTGTTTGTTTGTTTTGTTTTTTTTCGATTTTTGTAAATTTTATTAAAAAAAATTATGGTGCTACGGTGTGTTACTGTGAAAATCATCCTTGAAACGCCTAACATTACGGTTTCCTATGGTATAAATCTGGAATAGGTGAAAGTATTGTCATCAAAAAATTACAGGTGTACCTTTAAAGTGGCCATTAGGGATGCTCCGATCAGGATTTTTGCAGCCAATACTGATTACCGATTTCTTGTCATGGTGATCGGCCGATTCTGATGCTTCAAG